AACATGAAATTGATGATAGTATGTGTTTATTTCTTGTTTTTTTAAGCGAGATTTCGTTTTTTATTGAATTTTAGAGAAAAAAAAACATTTTAATTTTCAATTTGATGCTGCCATCTATATAAAAGACATTTTCATTTAAAACTTATTCTAATAATCAGATTTACAGTATTATTAAATGCATCTATTTTTAGAAAAAATGAAGTATTTTATGTAAAATGCTCCATGGTGACAAAATGCATATAAAAATAATAAATTCACACACAAAATATATTTTAAAGAAATATTTTTTGTTTAAAATTACGTCCAAGAGGAAATAATGTTGAGAAAGAAGCTCGCATTGATGGTGCCGCCATCTATTAACGGGATGAAAATCAAAACTTATAAGCTGGTTAAGATTTCTTTTTAAATCTTTTTTTTTTTAGTCATTATTCATTTTGAAATGGAACTAACTTGTTACAATTAGTTTTGTTAGCGTTTATTCTTTCTTTATAAGCAATAAATTTTCCATTTTTTAATTATTTTTGGTTAACTTTATTTATTATTTATATTATTTATGCGCAAGGTGAATGCTACGAAAATTTACTTATTTTATTTTGCCTGTTTTTTAATAATCAATTTAAAAAGAAGCTGATGGATTATGTGTTAATTGTTGGTTTGTTTTTTAAGTGAGTTTTTGTTTTTTATTGAATTTTAGAGCAGGTTTTCAATTTTCTATTTGGTGCTGCCGATTATTGAATTTTAGAGAAAAAAGGTTTTCAATTTTCTATTTGGTGCTGCCGATTATTGAATTTTAGAGAAAAAAAGGTTTTCAATTTTCTATTTGGTGCTGCCGATTATTGAATTTTAGAAAAAAAAAAGTTTTTCAATTTTCCATTTGGTGCTGCCGTCTGTGTGAAAGACATTTTATTTCAAATTTATTCTAATAATTAAATTCCCATTATTATTAATTGTATCTATTTTTAGATTTTTGTGTTCAGTGCAATCCAATAGCCTTAAAAAGTTTCATCCCAATGTTCGGTTTGAAATCGATCTATAAGGTTTTTTAACTTATCTAGAATACCTAAAATAACTTATAACAAAATAAATCAGATGACTTGTTAGACAAAGACGGTTAATATTTCTTTATTTTTTTAACAATCTCATTTTTATAGCCAAAAAATAGTTTAATCAATTTAGTGTTGTTTTTTAAAAATCTATTTTTTAGTAAACAAAAAAATATACCAAAGTAAATGAATATGTTGAAAGTTGAAACTTTTACTTATCATCCAAATTTTTTCTTATTATTACTGAATTAACATTAGGAAAAATATTTAATATATTTTAGAAGAAATACCAATATTTTACATAAATGAATAATACTATATTTTTAGACAATATGAATAAGTAACTAAATTAAATTTTCAAAACATCATATTATTTGCTTATGAATATGTTCAGATTTTCAAAACTAGATGGCGCCTTTCAATTGAAAAGTTACAGCTAAAATAAAAAATATTTAACATATTTTTTTATTTTTAAACGATACAACTTATTGTCAATTATTTTTTAAACATACATTTTAGATTTACAAGTTAAACTGCATAAAAAACTTAACATTCTATTGTCATTTTTTAAATAGCCAAACCTCAAATGTTAAAGGTTTGATATGCATGCAACCTATAATATTCATATAACATTTATTTTCTATTTGCAATAAATTGTCAATTCAAATGTAAAATGGACACCATTTTTAAGATTAGTTGATAACAGTTATGTAAGATTTAGTTGAAAATATTTATGTTTAAAAAGTGTTATGTCAACGTGGAAATGTGGAATTAGGAATATATTAATTTTTCAGCCTATTGTAAAGAAATTTATTTATCAAACACAAAATTTAGGGCAAATATTTTGAGCACTGACATTTGCAAAACTATTTATTACCTCTAAAGTCCAAGTTGGGAAGTTTTAAATGCTTTCAAGTTTCAGATCAAGTTTAAAATGCAACACGAAGTATGGATCATTTAAATGATATTCGTAGAAAGAACTTATGTTCAGTAAATAAAAATTCCGCTGTTAGAAATTGCGAAATAAATTTTAAAAGAGCGTCAAGCAACGTTAAAATCTTTTGCCACGATTGCCTTTTTTTTTGTTTTCAATATTTTACTGAAATTAATGAAAAAAGTATGAGTTTGTAGGGAAAGTTTGCAGCAACATTTTTATTATTGCTACTTATTAAAAAAATGCTTATGTAGTTAAAATGTAAACCCCGCATAAAAAGTTTGTGGAATTTTTAAGGTGTCTATTGGAATGTTAAGATTGCAATCACGCATTCAACATTTCATTGCCATTTTTAAAAAAAACGCTGCAGTGCAAAAACTTTTTTTTATGAACTTTAGAAGCTTCCATGAGGGTTATTTCTTAAATTCCATATGCGTAACTTAAATTAATTTAAATTAATTTACCTTTTTTGCAAAATTTTTAAGTAATTTTATTTAAAATTTTCTCCATTTAAAAATTATGTATTATTTATTACTATTTCTCGAAAATTTTTTGAGTGTACAAGAAAGAAAAAACAAATCAAAAATTATTACACGCAAGATTCAATGCAACTGAAATTTGAGTTAATGGATAAACAAGTAGTTTCATTAAAAGAATAATAATAATAAAAAAAACAGATACGTATAAAAAATATATATACATTGTGATAAATTATATAAGATTGCTCCTGAACAACGTGAGGTGTTCAGAATACCACAACGTATGTTAAACTGAGCGGAACGTCAAAAGAATTGGCATGCATACTTCACATTATTAGAAAAGGTAAAACATGTTTTTACAAGTTCATCCTATCAAAAAGAAGATTAATTGCATTCAGTATCAATCTGCATAACACTAATGCTCCCGATATTCAAAAATTACCATACTCAACAATTTTCTTCGGTATTTGGTCCCTTTCGGTGGGCCCTATAAGCGTATTTCCACTGTACCTATATTTTATTTTATAACTGTCGTTGAACAGCTGAACCGGTTTTCGGGCTTACCATTACCAATATTAATTACCGTAGCCTTATAATTTTGAACCCAAAATAGAAGACAAGGGAACTCATGGATCAAGCATTGGGAGAAATTAGCCTTCCTTTTGATGGAACTAACTAACCCGCATTTGCCTTACATCGAGATGAAAACCGGGAAAACCTCCTATGGTTAGCGTTAGCCTGATGGGGACTCTAACCCAAGATTCGTTTAGCACTGAGGATATTTTACGTTATCATTGTGGTTGTGCCGGATGCGGAACCACTGTTCTTATAGAAAGTATCTTGGTACAAGTATTAGTATATATGGGTTATTCTCACGAAAACTGTCATTTTTCAGTTCATAAAATCCCAAAAAAGTAAAGNATATATATATTAGTATATATATATATATCTTAGTATATTATATAAAAAAGACTCGAATTAACATAATACCATTAGTACCTATCGCTAAAACTAATTAAACATCATTGGCGTTAATAATGGTAAGGCGATTTTTTTTCAATATTTACTTTCAATATTTGCTCAATATTTACTTTACTTTTTTTTGTATATAAAGAACTACTTTTTCTCTATTGATTTTGCTTTTCAATAAAAGTACTCATTTTATTCGAATTTTTACCTGTTACCAAAATGAAACTAATATTTTTATTATCATTTTTAGTGTGAACAAACAACTACTTTTTTCAAAATCCGCGAAAAATAGCAGAACTATTATTGTCGCCTTTGATGCTAAATTACATGTAGTTTTAAATACTGCCGATATTGTTGTTGTAAGTGCTAATGTAATGAGAAACTATTGTACAAAGGTACATTAAATAGGTACTGTAGTAATAACAAGTACCCTAATACCACTATCCTGCACATTTATACGATATGCAACCTTTTTTTTAAAATTATTATTATTTGTTGTATATATTATTGCGGCTTCATAGCATTAGATTTACCGTGTAGTGTATCTACCACTACAAAATTACAATTACAATTCTCTAGTATATAACACATGCTAGCTTGATTCTATGTTGGGGTACCTTTTCATAGATGAAGATTGACATCGTCTATAACTCCTCACCCCACATTGGTGACCCGGACGTGATTTGAACACGCCTACCTTGACAGTAACGCCCATTTCTACAAGAAAACGCCTACCTATACAGTAACGCCTACTTCGATGGATGATTCACATTGAACAGTTGACTTGGTACTTGTGATTGCGGCATTATCCACCTCCTCGCACTGTTGCTATTCAGTCTCGCCTCGATCACGCACAACGTCGGCTTGCATACTTATGATTACTGGACTTCTAACGGCAACACAGGGAACAACCACGACCATGAACTTAATACAGCTCTCACGATCAGCACGCAAAAGTACGGTGATCTTAATACAGCTATCCCGGCTTCTCACAAAAAACAGCAATCAATCAATCAACTAGTGGTATCAGTTCATCGAATTCTATCACAGATAAAATTCTGGTGGGGGAGTACTGTAGTGTATCTACCACTACAAAATTACAACTACTATTCTCTTTTATATAAGACATGCTAACTCGATTCTATGTGGGGGTACCTTTTCATAGATGACGGTTGACATGGTCGATTACTTCCCGCCCCATAACCGTAATATGAGGTAGGACTTTAACTCATTAAAAAAAATATTAACTATATATATAATTTAAAATGTGACATTCTGAATTTACCCCAATTTTCCCGTGGTTTAATAGATAACTTCAATTTCAGTTTTTTAGTTCTTGTCAAGTTTCCTTTCTTTAAGTTTATAGAAACACGCTTGAAAAGCTTCAATAGTAGCAAAAAAGTAGTTCACAACACTTATAACATATTTTATTTAAAACATCAAATATATAGTGTTACGAAACATTTAATAATACAGACAGATTTTGTACAATTGGCATGCTTTTAAACAGCTAAAATATTTCGGTCAAAAATCAGCAACCAAGAATTTTATTCTTGATACTGAGGATTGAGTTCTTCACTTTTTTGTAATCATAATTACTTCTTGGGTGAAGTATATCATTATCATTTGACTAGAAAGATCGTATACAATCGTACACAACAAAGAAATATACATATTTTTACAGGTCCTTCACTTCATCGGCGGGCTGCTTCCAAACCTGCAAAAAAAAAAATAAAAATAAAAAAAATAAAACGCACAAAATAAATAAATTACTACATAAATGATATATTTAAAGAGGAACAGGAAAGTATAATTTTGGAGTATAACGTATAATTGCCCTAAAAAAGAAAGTACAATTGCCCTAAAATTATATTTTTACAATCCGTGGCTATCACGAAATCAAAAAGCTTATACGTTAAGTCTAATAGGTTAAGATAGAGTGACTTGATTTTTTGGGGAAAAAGAATCACAAAAATTAGCGCATCTATGACTTTTTTAAAAATGTTTTTTAGTACACTATTAAACAATGATTATTTTTCTGAATAAAATGAATTTTTAAATCTGATAGCTCATATATATATATANTATATATATATATACTGTCCAAAATGTTTCACAAAGCGAGCGTGATTGATTTCGAACAAATAAGCACATCCAGCTTAAAATCGATGGGTATCAGCTGTTACTGATCTGGGAAGTAAGGGCGGTTTCTGCGCAATGATGAGCACATTGCCTCAATCAAGCCGTAAAACAAGAAATTTTAAAGTTTTGACCTCCATGAGCAAAACGGCCTGTTGCAGAAAGGATTTACTTATTTTTCTTACTGATTATTTAATAAATAATCTGTTATTTTTACCCAGGCAGCACCGAGTAAATACTATACTTGGATATACTATCTTAAATTACCCCGAGGAACAAATTATTTGTTGTATTTATACAATTGGAATTTTGATTACAGCTTGATTTTTAACAAAGGAAAGGTGCAACATAGCAGCATAGACTTTGTGCAACATAGACTAAAGCAAAAAAAACTGGAGTAAAGCACTAATGAAAATACATAAATTGACATTTTATAGTTTTCATTTCTATTAACAAGAGCATTCCCCAGTGTCTAAATGACAAATAAGGTAGAGAAATAAAGAGTCAATTACGTGTAAAGTGGTTCCACCGATAGGAACAGAGGGACAAGTTTGAACAAAGAAATAATGATGGGGAGATAAGAAACAAGGATGTGGTTATTTCGCGGAAACCCCAGGGGGCAACACATTAAATTGAAATTGCTTTAAAAAATTTGGGAAACGCTGGGAAAGATCATTAACTGAACTATAAAAAATTTCAAAATATAAAATAACTCCCGAAAATCAAGTTCAGAAGATGAAGAGCGCTGCTGAAAATGATTTTCGTAGAAGAAAATCAAACCTGTAATCTAACTGTGTAGAGCGATACAAGATTGGTTAATATCTTTATTTTGGAAGTATCTTTCGTACTATTTTACTCGGCGTTTAGTTCCTTAAACGCACTTGATTTTGCCTAATTCGGGTGTAGAGATTTAAAATCTGAAATTAGTTTTTCTCATAAAACTATTGTTTTTTAAATGAAGTTTTTAGTCTATTTCTGTCGAAATTTATGCGTTTAAAAATGTTATAAATAACAGCGTACGTAAAGTTTACGACAAACTTCTAGGAAAGTTAGGGCACATCATCAGGAATAAAAATTGCATTGGAGCCCATGTTTTGCAATGCAGCTGGGGGAGCATTCCAATTTTGATCTGTTCAGAAGCGCACAAAGAAATTGTTAATAGCAGGGAAGCGCCACTTTCTAACAACATTTCTGGGTATGGGTTCCTAAGCAATTTTAATCCTGATAATGTACCCTAACTCTCTTAGAAGTTTGTCGCAATATTTATGCGACTTCCTATCCAAAGTAACGTTTTCAAGCTTGATGTTGTTGTAGTAGTTGCAGTTCATTTACGTCGCACTAGAGCTGCATAATGGGCTATTGGCGACGGCCTGGGAAACACCCCTGAGGATGATCTAAAGACATACCATCACATTTTTGAACCTCTGCAGAGGGATGGCACCCCCGCTTCGGTAGCCCGACGACCTGCACGCGAAGTCAAGCACTTTACGGTAGAACAGTTTAACGAGGACCAATACCNGATAAATCACTTACTCTTCAGTGTACTTGCGGGGGATTCAAACTTGGTTAAGTTCGATTCTGGCAACGGTGGTATGAGGCACAATTCCTTGCCTTTTGTACCTTGGCTGTTCGAAGTTGTGCAGCTGGAAATTTCTTGTTGTGGCCAACACTGGTGGCAGATGGGCTTCAAAAGCCTCCTCAGGCCACGTCGGTGGGGCCTCCTGGACAGTACGTACACTATGGGATCTAAGATGAAATTGAGGGCCGTGCAAACGTCAGCTATCCTGAAGAATGGATGATTCGTCATGTCGGGATGCAATTGTGAGATGATGACAGTTGCCTGGGGAAAAAATACATAATTAGTTCTGACTGGAACTCTTGTATAGTACAGTTTTCAGGAGAACTCCTCTAGATACCGGTCTCGCGTCGTAGCGGGTACTATGGTTACTGGGAAAGGTCACTTCGAATAGGGGTGGGGTTGAATAGTTTTGTCTTAATCTTAGCGTAGGTCATCGTAAGTAAACCAATCGACACCTTCTTTCCTCCATTTCACCCCCATCAGAAATGTGCTCTCGCTTGTTACCATAGCAGCAGACAGCCCCAGGCTTTTAGTCTGGAGGAGTTCTCCTCAAAGTCGCAATGTAAGTGCACTTTAAGAAACGAAGTCTTTTAATATCTTCTATTGACAAAAAATATTTGTTCGTTAAAATGTAATGTCTTTCTAATATTTATGTCTTGCCAATGATTTTAATGAAACAGTATATTTAAAAATGATGATGAATGATTTGCCAATTAAGCTCTCTTTCCACGTTTTGTTCATCTCTACCTATAGTTTGTCTAAAATAAGACCTCCTCCAGACATTCGTCTGGACCTGTGGCGGTGACTATGGTAACGAGGTATGACTATTTCAAGTAGGGGTGTGGAGTCACTGTTTTGGAGTGGTTTCGGGTCGGGTCGGCGAGAGATAGGGAATCTATTCGGTCTATTGTGTTAGTCTTAGAGTGAAACTACCCTCCCTAAAATGCGTCATTCTTCCATAGCACCAGAGTGCCTCAGACCTTGTGGAGAGAGGAGTTCTTAGCTTAGACAAACTATATGTAACATTCATGTAAACAGAAGAAAAAATTGATGCGAAATCAGGTTAAGTGCATAAAGAAGAGTGCCAGAAGTTTGCTCAGGATGAAAGAGATGAAGAGAAGATTCATTACGTCATTATCTTCGAATTAAAAAAAAATTTCTTGGTTAAATTGCGAAGCATTCACATCAACCAGTTCCTTTGGATAAAAATAATTACCTGTATATCATTTTATTTCATTTTATTACCAGCGGTAAACAGGCAACCCAATTCTGAGTTCACGATTATCAATGTTTAACTTCATAGCCTTATAATTTTGAAATTAATCCAGAAGATAAAGAATTTCCTGGATCAATTAGCCTTTGTGGAAGACTTTTTTGATGGTACTAACCCACATTTGCTGTGAATAGGGAGGAAAATCACGAATACCTCCCACGGTTAGCCTGACGACAATGGGATTCAAGTCCATGAATCGTCTACCACTGAGGATAATTTATGTCAGCACTTTGGTAGGTGTAAGTCGGGAAGTCAATTCATATCAACCAGCTAACGCTGGGAACTTGAGTTCCCTCATTGGGAGGCGAGTGCTCAATCTCATGAGCCAACGCGGCTCCCTGTATATCATTTAACGCTATATGTATCTATGCGATACTGTACTACCAATCTTAATTTAAAAATTTTCAAAATTAAATATGGGTAAATATAATGGGCACTTACCATTTGCGGCAACCAGCATACTACAAAAAATATGCAAAGAATAACCATAAGCTTTGCAAAAGAGAGCTCTTCTTGTGTTGTGTGATTAAAAGATAGTTCTCTATGATCTTTGGAAACAGTCGTGCGTCGGACATGGCTACTTTCTGGACTTATTCGACACAGGGCACCGACTACAGCAAGGTTACACGTTACAATCACAATGCACATGGTAGTGCCAAAACCTGCAACAAAGACAACAAAGAAAAATACGCTAGAAATTGGTTGTAACAAACAAATGGAAAAACAGCCTGCGAAACAGATAGTGGTAATGAGTAATAATATAAGATCTAAACTTTAAAGTGTGGGACAAATATAAAGCTTTCCATACTGGTAAGTGTTCTGAAAATTTTATTATCTTTAATTGATACTGTTCTTGTACGTTGTTTTTATATATTTTATTTGTATTGTTATTTCAATGTTTATTATAATGTATATAAGTTCATTTTTTAAATACAACAAGTAATTGAAATCTTTTGTTTAGCATTGTTTAGTTTGATTGAATTTTACTTAATATTATGCTGTATATTGAAAGTGCACGCATCTACAAATGTATTGAGTCCTTCTGAAATTGGATAGAAATATTTTTGGTGCTACTTTGCTCCCTGTTACAACAATATTTAGCAATTTGCATCATCGCAGCAGAGGAAGAAACCCAAGTTAGAGAATATTAATCATGTCATTAATACTGTAAAGGCGTATAATTCTTTCCACAAAGACAATCAACTGGCATCTTAAAATTTATTTATTGACAATGCAACAGGTGCAAAAAACAGACATATAAAAATAATATCAGAGACGCAAAACCACCATCCTCTTTTTACCACTCTTGATCCTGCAAGTAACGTTACAATCATGGCGTTATTAAATGCATTATAGCAGTCAAGCCTGGCTTTCCATCACCTTGGCATTTTAATTATTTATATGCTTTTAACGATATTTTTTAAATCCTTTCCATCCAATTTCATCCTTTTAACGATATTTTTTAAATCCTTTCTCCATCCAATTTTATCCTTTTAACGATATTTTTTGAATCCTTTCCATCCAATTTCATCCTTTTAACGATATTTTTTAAATCCTCTCCATCCAATTTCATCCTTTTAACGATATTTTTTCAATCCTTTCCATCCAATTTTCTTCTTTTAATGATATTTTTGTTTTTAAAAAGTGTTTAACACTGTGTCATAGATCCAAAGCAATAAGGAAAAGAAGTACATGCAATTTGGTCCGATTACAAACAGTAATCGCAGTTTTCAGAACTGCCGAATTTCTGCACGCTCTTGAAATGAACGGTTTGCGCATAGGGACCAAAAATATTAAACAACTGGAACTTATTAAACAGCACAAGCAGTTAAATAAATAAACCCTAGAACTAGAAGCGGTAAGATAATACCTGATTACAAAAAACTTCATTAGTTTCAAAAATATACAAACAGTAAATAACAGTCGACTTGTTTCAAGAGCTTCAAAAAGTAGGCGCCCATTTTCAAGACTTGTCAGGCGTGAATGAGAAGAAACAAAAGGGATTTGAAATAAAAACGCAAAGTTGGCAACGAAGAATGTAAAAGAAAAGGTGAGAAACAAAACAGGAAAAACCATGTGCCGAGAGAGTTAAAAAAGATGAAAAATAGAACAAGAAAAACCACGGTGGCCGAGAGGATAATCAGGGTAAAATGCATTTTCATGCTCTATGGAGAGTAGGTGAAGAACTATTGTCGTTAACAAGAGAATCAGCATTCACATGAATAAAACAAGATTCCAAAGTATCAAGATGATCTGATGTGGCTGGGGTGAAAATAATTTTGGCATAGTCGAAATTTAACTTATACCCAATATTCCAAGATGTGCAGAAATTGATGATATCTCGATTTCTTGAGAACGAACATATTTATTATGATCCTTAAGCCTAAATTTTGTTACTCCTCATTCACATCTGACAAGTCTAGAAGATGGGCGCACATTTTTGAAGCGCTTGAAGCATGTCGACTGTTACTATTTGTATATTTTTGCAGCGAATGAAGTTTTTTTTTATAATCAGGTTAATGCAAAAGTAGTTTTTCTATTGATAAAAGGCAGAGAGAAAGGAAAAAGAGGAGAACGGACTGTTAAGGTCGGATATTTTTCGATCAGCTTCTGATTATAACTAATAAATTTAAAATATTGAATGAAATTAAGTTTAGGACACAAGTCTTCAGATAGTTCAGAACCAAACAGGAACTTACCAAACATGAGATAGGCATACCCTATATCCAGTGGCTCTGTTGCCTGCCGGTAACGAGAACAAATATAAGCTCCGGTCTGCACGTCCAAATGGTAGTACACTCCGAATCCAGCCAATGGAAGAAGAACAATGAACATAACAAGGAACCACTGCACGAATATGGCTCGTTTTACTACTTTATGGGTGATATGCTGAAAAATCAAAAAGCAATTAAAAATTTTAGTACATTCTATCACCTATAAACCACACAAATTTACAATTTATATATTGACTTCTAGGAAAATCGCACCTGAATATGCTTTTTCTGGTATCTAAATGTGCTCAGTAAAGGACTGAAACATTTAAACATGTAAATTATAAAAATAATTAACAAATTAAATTAATTGCAAGTGTCAGTAGCCGCAATATAGAGTCTGTCTAAAGAATGCTTTAAAGACCTGGTTGAGCTGTAAGATTTTGAAAAAGAAATTAAATGAAAAATGAAAATTAAGGAGATGAAATAACTACTTTAAATGATAATTAATATCTTGCGCAATTTATATTAATTTTTATTTTAATGTGATAATTTGTTATTAATTCAAATTTGCACCAAAAGTTTTGTTTCATTTCATTAAATATTTTCAAATTTATAGCAAGGAAACGTTATAAAAGTTGTATAAAGCAAACGTAAGACAAAAAAAAAAGTTTTTTTCTTTACGAAAAATTTTAATATTTCCATAAATATTAAGGATAAGAAATTTATGCAATTATTGCATATAATAACCAAAGTAATCAAAACGAGCTACAAGTATATTGTTATATTTTTTTACATAAGGTGTTCAAAAACACTTTTTTTTTGTTCGAAATTCATTGTCTGCCCCTAAATTGTGAGGAAAATTTGAACTTTATGGATAAGTACTAGAAATTGTATGCCTTAAACACTTTTAAAGTTATGAAATAATCGACAAATTTTTTCGGAATTTTTAAAAAAAAAAGGTGGAGAATACAATGACATTTATGGTCATGAGCTATTATATACTTTTTTATCCTAACGATTTAGCCTACTTTATATTAATATGTGTCGCAACATTTTTGACACTTCCTCAATGTTCCCTGCAATAAAATTGCAGGAAATATTTATACACAAGCTGTAAAATTCCCTGGAAATTTTACAGCTCTTATTATCGATAATGTTTACTTAATATTTTAATTGTTAACTGGACACTTGCAACTTGGCCTAACCAATTAGGCCTAACCATGCGATTTAATTGGATACCTATAAGTGACATCACGCGCGTGTATTGAACCTAATTGGCTTCTGAATCGACAAATGCCAAGATTTACCTACGATGACGTTATTTGCAGGTATTCAATTGGTTTAAAGTTATTTAAATTTAAAATCAGGTTAAATAAACTTCTAGTTACACGTCTTTCATTCTGCACCTAGAGTGTCATTGAACTTAAGAGAAAAGAGGTCACAATTTCGTCCACGTGAGAATTCACTTTATTTAATTTTATTTATTTTTCTAGCAAAATTATTTTCGCTCTTCCAATAGTTGGTTATATCAAAAAATGTATTGTAATATTCACTGGAAATATATTTTCATGCAAAGTTTCTAATTTTACTCATAATCNTTACACGTCTTTCATTCTGCACCTAGAGTGTCATTGAACTTAAGAGAAAAGAGGTCACAATTTCGTCCACGTGAGAATTCACTTTATTTAATTTTATTTATTTTTCTAGCAAAATTATTTTCACTCTTCCAATATTTGGTTATATCAAAAAATGTATTGTAATATTCACTGGATATATATTTTCATGCAAAGTTTCTAATTTTACTCATAATCTCTATATATATTTCTCTTACACGGCGACAAAAAAAGTCTCATTACAACTCCTCGAATGGCAACGCTAGAAAATCGACCAATGATTGCCGCTAAAAATGTCACATGGCAAATCTACCTGAGCTGGCTCAACATATAGCGTTTTTAAAAATGGAAACCGAAATAGCCAGAGAGAGCATTCTTACCAAATGTGATTTCTTTCGAAATTCACCCTATCAGCTGCGGCAATCTCATACTATTAAGCTAGGCAGAAGTGAGTAGTCTTTGTCGATAGATCTCTATTTTAGCATTTTGTCGAGAGCGCTTTTTTTCACGAATTTATATATTACGAATTTATTTAACGATTTTTGATTTATATCACGAATTTTTTTGTTTTATTATTGTTATTAGTTTTTTTATTGAAAAATGAGTCTCAGTCGTGGTGTTATGCTTTAAGATTTTATACTATAGCACATTTCTAATAAGTTTAACGAATTACATGTCATTTATTTGAATTCAAATTTATTTTAATGACATAGTATTTACTAAAAAGATGTAATTTTTTTTTAAAAAAGGAGCTGTTATATGGATTTGAATGATTGTTTTGAATTCTTAGAATTTTGTGCATTTGCAATGTACCTAAGTTAGTAGCGAGCTTGGTTTGTGAAGCAAACCATATAAGATTGTGTAGCAATTTTCGGGGGTTGGCGAGCGTTAGCGAGCAGGGGGCACAACCCACTAGTTAATTATAAAATCTAAGCTTAATCATTTTAAACTAATTTAGCAACTTTAGACCAAACAGTGGTAATATCATTATAATATATTGTAATATATTAACAGTAGTAATATCATTGTAATATAATTATTGTGCATATCATCTCATCATGTTATATATAAAAAATGTATTATTAAACATGTATTATACTATAGATTATTACATTATTAATATAATATATAATAATCTTATACATTATACTAGCAATATTTACTTAAATACAATCCCTCTTATCTAACAAATAAGGCACTTAAAAATTCCGTCCTAGTTACAAGTTTTAGAGCTTCTCCAGTTACAAGTTTTAATCTTTCCCTATGATTTAGGTATTCTGCGTTTTGATAAAAACTTAAAGAAAACTCACCAATTAAACAAATCTGTAATAAATTTCTTTAACCCATTTAGTACTTAATTTCTGACTTAAAAAACATTTTACAAACTTGATAATGTATTAAAATTACGATTATGGATATTTATCTTGTCATTTTTACATCGACTTTATTAATAAATTGCAGGAGCTTTTCAGCATCGGGAGTGCTATTAAACGTTGATTAAAAGATCAAATTTCATTTTTGACATGGAAAATTACGTTGTCTTTTAAAAGAAAAGATGCTGTAAGCATTATGTCATGTTTGGTTTACATTTTTTTTTTGTTTAAAATTTACTATCTTTATAAAAAAATAACAACATATGCTAACAGTTTGCTACGCATAAATACATATAAATCAATAGTGCTCGATTTTGACTATTTAAGGTCATCGGATTTGTTGAGGCATTTAATCGGCAGCTAAGAAATGCATATGATCATTGAATACATCCATCGCGATGGACGAGATAATTCGTCTCCCGCACGAAGAAAAAAATTAATAGTGCTCAATTTTGACTATTTAAGATTATCGGATTTGATTGCTAAGAAATGTATATGATCATTGAATACTTCCATCGCGACGGACGAGATAATTCGTCTCCCACCCGAAATGACAATTTTGGTACTATTACCGTACTGTAAGGTTTTATAGCCGTCGTTGAACAAGCCGACTCAATTTTTTGGGTTTACGATTTCTAATGTTCAACTACGAAGCCTTGTAATTTTGAACCCAACCCAGAAGACAAAGAAACTTATGGATAAAGTATTGGGAGAAGTTTGTCTTCATGGAGGATTTTTTGATGGAATTAACCAGCATTTGCGTTAATTAGAGAGGAAGACCACGAGAACCTTCCACGGTTAGTCTGACGGCAAGGGGACTCTAACTCATGATCCGTCTACCACGGAGGATATTACACGTCAGCACTGTGGTCGGTGCAAGCCGGATGCGGAATTTTTATAGATCAGCTTTCGCTGAGATTCGAACGCTATCCCCTGAGCCATCGCGGCTCGTACAGTAAGGTTTAGCAATACTAGTTAAAAAAAACTGGTTAATAAGAATAATTCTGGTTGATAAAACCAAATTCTTGTTAATAAAACCAAAATATGCGGCATTTAAATCATTTATTTGGTAATTTTTCCATTTATATGGTAACGATTAACCGGAAATTCTGTTTTTCAAAATTATAGTTTACCATGCATTTAGTAAATACAAAACTTAAAAGTAAATTTTACGGAATAATTATGCTATGCCATGCTTTATGCTATCATGATGCAATAACCATGCTAATCAAATTTTATCATATATAATAAATCTATATTTTATTGATAATTTTGCCAAACCCATTACCAAAGTGCTTCGTTGAAAGTTACCGAACTTTTTGGTACTTCTCATCGAGGCAGAAAGTAATCATATTCTGGAAAGTAATCATATTCCTGAGAGTAATCATAATCGAGTCAGAATTTTACCATATTCTGATAGTTTTGGGGACAGTTTTTTTCTTAGTGTTAATCTAAGCGCTCTGTGCTGTTTGTATTAGCGAGTGTTGTTGTTGATTGCAATTGATTATTATTCTTCAAAGTAAAATAAACAAGTTTTTACAAAAATTTGAGTTTTGCTTCACTTTTAGCGAAGCGGAAAAACCCTTAGAGCAGAGGGTGAGATAAAGGCAAGCCATTGCCAGGATGGAAGTGTTAAGTACTTACAATGAAAATTATATAACAATGATTTATTAATTATTAATGCTCCAAAAAGCGCTGTTTTGACATATCGACACATAAAATATGGAAGCATTATGCTTCAAAATTCCGCAATGAGCAGACAACACGAGTTGCATGATTAAACAGTTATAATAAAAGTCTTCAATTATTTTGACCACATAGACAAAACAAAAATGCATTTTAAAATGTGAGAAAATATCATATTATTCAAAAATTTGGCGGCGCCAAAACTGTGCTTTAATAACGTTTAAATAAGCTTATTTAGAAATTTATTTTGTAATTTGGAAATCCGAAAAATAGTTCTTATAAAAATTTGAGACACTTAAATAACAACATACAGCAATTTGGTTCAGCGGGAAACTATAATTTTTCGATTAAGTTATCCTTTATTCTTCTCATGTCTAAGACATTAGTTCCTAATTTCTCAGCTCTCTCGTCTGAGAATTATAATCTTATGTCGAAGCTTTGACCTTTTCCACCTTTTGCATTCCTCTATTCAGTATCGATTTCTTAATAAAAACTTTCTTTTG